GCACCATGCACATTAGAGCATTGGAGATGCTCTTAATGTTCATCTGCTGAAGGCAAATACAAAGTCCTAATTTTTTTAAAGTGCTAAGTTTACCTTGATGTTTACAATCAGTCATAATTGAGGATGTTTTTACTAGAACGGAAATTTTTTGAACCAGTCTGATCTGGTTTGGGATTGAAAAAAATTCAAGTAAAGACATCATGATCGAGTTCATGTTCTAAAATAAATAAATTTGACAGCACCAAAAATATTCATTTCATATTTTGAGAGAGAAATAGAAATATAAATACGTATTTTGCTTTAAGAATTTTAACGTATTTATATATAAAAATAAAAAAGTATTTGAAAAATTATACCATATGTAACAATAATAATCCATATTTAGTGTCCACAAATATAATCCACACTAGCAATAGCTAGTCTCCATAAGAATAAACTAAAATTAATTTAAACTAATGCTTATTTAATACTCTCAACCCCTACTTCCACTTTCTCATTCACCATTCTTCGTTTTGGGGAAGAAAAAAGTGAGAGTAAGGGTTGGAAGTATTAAACGGGCATTAATTTGAATTCATCCCAATTTATTCTTATGAACACTATTACTAGTACTTTGGATTATCTTTGTAGATCGGATATTCTCTGTATGAATTATTTGAAATAAAATTTTATTTGAAAAGTGCATGTATATATAAAAACAATTATCTTAATTGTGAGTACTATCTTTTTTTTTTTAATTTTACTACAGTAATTACTAATTTTATTCAATATAAAGTAATTTCTTTAAGAAAGATATAGAAAAAGTAGATACGAAAATGTAAAAAAATAAGTTTTGGTAAAACATATCTAAAAGACACAAGTAATATAATCCCCCACGAACAAGCTTACTACGTAGTATTACTAGGGTGCTTCGGTACAAAATACCGGATATTTTATTTCATACCTTTGCCATATTTGAACTTTTGGTATACAAAAATTATACAAATTATACCGTTATCTTATTGAATTTACCTTTATGTATACCGAAGTTTTGGTTCAGTAAAGGTGCAACGTTGATAAATTAGCTTGTATGTTTCTCAACAGAATAAGTTAGGTTTTTTTTTCAAATTTAACTAATAAGAAAGTCTTGAAAAAAAATTGACATAGTAACCATTAGTGACTATATTTGTGTTGAAAGGTTACATCATAATACCTTACATTTAGTTACTACGATGTAAATTTTGAATACAATTGTAATCACTAATAGTTACTAACTAATTTTTTGTCCATCGCATTTTAAAGAGTAATATTTATAAAATTATATCAATAAGTTATCATAGATAGACTAATGGAGTATACAAAATCCTTCTGTATATTATATTGCTAGCGACATATTTACTAAAAACCATTATTAAATATCATAAATGCATGTATAAACCTATCGATGACCTAATCTATATTTTATTAATAATTACACCTTTGTATTATAATTTAATCAGGGGTGGAGCCAGGACACTGGGCTAGACTAGGCCGATACAAATAATATTTTTGGAAAAAAATTTACACTAAAAATTTGGACATTTTTAAAATTTGGGTGATCCCCATGCCATAGCGTCACGACCGTCCCCATGCCTAGCGGCTACCCGCACCTTCGTCTGTCGTCTCCATGCCTGCTTGTCGCGGCTGTTCCCATGGCGCGCCGCCGATGTGGTGATCGACGTTTATTTAGTTTTTTAAATGAAATTAGGGATTGTGAAATTAGGGTTTGTGAAATAAAGGTTTGTGATCATTAGCAGTGAATATGAGCAGTAAATATGGACAGTGAAAATGTGAATAGATAGTGTTCTGAACATGACATTAGATAGTGTGTTGTACATGAGCATTGAATGAATGCATTGATGAAGTGTCTTGTGCAGTGAATCGAATGCAATAGAGCAATAACGACGACACGAAATGTAATATATTTAACTACACGTTAATACTAATTTAAAGTTATTACATTTTTAAATAAATAAATAAATATAAAGAAATTCCTATCATGGATGAGAAGAGGATTAATGTTGGCGGCAAGTGCAATGATTTTTACTGGTTGTGCAGTAATGTTTTGCAATAACTGCAATATAAAGTGTGTTGTTTCTAATTGGACAAAAACGGTGTAAAATGCACATTTTTCAAATAAGGATATTTTGGTCATTACACATTTTAATATGAACAAATTTTTGTTTTTATTTTTTCTTTAAAATATTACACATTTTAATATTTTAATGCCTTCTCACATACGTGTTAAAGTATAGATAGTGGATCTTCAATTTAGTATCGTGCATATCTAATTCAAATACTACGTATATTATTCCATATGTAGTCTCTTGATTCTCAATTTCACTTTTTAGTTTTTACTCAGTACTAGTTTTTAACTCGTGCATTGCACGGGATAATAGACTAATTATAGAGTGATTTGATATTACTAAATATAAGTCCACTCTTACAAATTAAGCCTTTATTCATATTTAATTAGTAACTCTAAATTAAAGGATCGGAGTTGGTCCAAGAGGAGTACCACTAACAATAAAACACACTTTGGAGTGTTACATGACTTGTTAATATGGGATGTAATATATACATGAAATGAAATTTTAACATTTCGTTTTTTGCATAAATTTTAATAGATACTCTACTAAGAAAAATTGTACTTGATAGCTTTTAGAGCAATTTTTTTACACCCCTACGATGCTAGGGATGGCAACGGGGCGGATCGGGGACGGTTTTACATATATAACCATACCCGCCCCGTTTGGTAATTCCCCCGCCCCATAACTGCCCCATTACCCAACGGGTAATTTTTATCCAAACCATAACCGCCCCAACGGGTAACGGGTATAACCGCGGGTAACCGCAGGTAATCGCTTTATTAAATGAGTCCTTTATATTTTAATATAAAAATAATATTTTAAAAGGAGAAAATGACATCACTTAGACGACTCTAGACCCAGACGCCACTTTAAAAATACGTAATTTGAAAAATAATTAATCACGAAAAATCTGGAAAATATCAATCACAAGACTATTAAGATCTATTATAAACTTTCATCATACACTATAGTTAGTAAATCTATTATTCATATATACACAATGAAAATAGAAAAATATCATCTTTTAGTGGTTGTGGGACAAATAATAGATAAGAATGTAATAAAAATATAATTAAAAATAAACGGGGCGGGTACGGGGCGGGTAATGGGGCGGGCATGTATAAAACCATAACCGCCCCGTTACCCGTAAAAACAAAACGGGTATTCCCCGCCCCGTACCAGTTACCCGGTCAATGCGGTTTTCCCCATTTTGACCGGGGCGGTTCGGTGCGGGTATCTACCGGATCGACCAAAATTGCCATCTCTATACGATGCACCATTTCTTGAACCCACAATATTGTTTATTTTTACCAAAACTGCAATATTTAAATATATACATTAAATAGAGAACATACATAGGTTAAAATCAATGTATATATGTAAGAGGAACTACACTAAAATTCCTAAAGTATGCATATTACTATTATGAAAAAGAAAATTAGAATATGTTGAGTATAGTGCGAACCTAAATATATCAAAATTATCTTATATGCATTAGAAATCTTTGCTCAAGAAGACAATAATTGAACATCAAATTTTCTCTTCTCCACCGTCCTATAATCTTAGACAAAGAATATATAGCCTCTTCGCCCACGAGCAAAAGCGGAATAAAAATTTGAAAGGAAATGAGAATAAAAAATTGAAAATGGGTGTGAAGAATTTGATAACTGCAACGGATTTCAAAGGCGTCTGAACTCTAATCAATTATAAGGGCAAAAGCATGAATAAAATAAAAGAGATAACAACATTAAAAACAGTTGGAAGGAGTCGAAACAGCATCAAGGAGTAGCTGCGTGAAAACTAATCTGGAAAGTTTGCTTAGCTTGGTGAAGAAAAAGTTGTATGTGTGCCCGATTGAAAAGCTTCCTGAGCAAGAAGGTGAGCAACTGTATTAATTTCCCTGTAACAATGAATGACGGTTGCCTGTAGAATAGCAATTACCCAGTTGATTTCCTCCAGATAGGGTGCTGAAGTAGATTTTTTGAGAGCTTTGCATAATGCCTCCGAATTGGTTTCAATCTGGACCCTCTCATATCTCATCCTTGGAGCTTTGACACCATTTCAGAGCTTCTAGCACTGTCCAAGCTTCTGCCTGAAGAACAGACCCCACCGCCAGAGGAAACAAAAGCGCATAGATAAAATTTCCACATGCATCGCGGAGTATATCACCACCAACGCTTTTTCAATCAGCAAAAGAAGCATGATGCAGAGAGCGAGGGTGAGCAGTTTTTCCAAACTAATATGCTAATCAACTCCGAACATGTAGAGGAGAAGAAGTTCAACTTCCGAACATGTAGAGAAAACTTGTAACGAACTGTTTTAAACCTGAGACCTCTGTTCCTTTCTGCCATAGTAGTAATAGAGAAACGGCTCCTGGGGAAGCAAACGCAGGCGGACTTGGGAAGCGGCATGAGGCAAGGGGATGAAGGGGAGCAGATGGCCTTGGATGACCCAAAAAACGGGGAGGAGGCGGGTTCGGGCTTCGAAACCCGCCACGATGTTTGAAGCTTCTTGCTGCTATGGGAGGACGTGGGAGCTCGGTTGGGCTCCTAAGGATTCAGTTTACTTTCCACGGTTTCATTATCGTTTTACTATTATTTTTTGCTTCACACTGTTTTGTTTTTGTTGTCACTGCTATGTTCTTTCAGACTCTTACATTAGACGGGGTGATAGGGATTCTGCTCTGACCACGATAGACTCATCTAAACCCGTTATAGCCTTATAGGATTAGTGAATCACATTGCTTTGTGTAGGGAGATAGGTTCGAGGGTCGGTGGCTGAGAGTGTTACCTTTATCTCTTTTATCCTTTGTTGAATGTTATTTTCTTAATATAAGCCGTGTTTCCCCAAAAAAAATACTCCTTATTAATACTCCGTAGTAGTCTGGCATCGATAGCACACAGGCCCGTCTGTAATTCCAGTGTTCGAAGCCCGAAAATAAATAATGGCCCAAATGGCGAATTAGACATTCACACGTCCTAAGCAACGACCGCCGACTAGCATTGAGCATCGTCCGTTCACCCTCTCCGCTACTCGAAGGCGCAACTCAGTCGGCTCGTCCCCTTTGTCGGCCGTCGGCGCACATCACATCTATTTTCTAACCACTGGGTGTCTGGGTCTCTAGTAGACTGCTCTGCGCCTTTTCAGAGTTGAGGTAAGTTTTTAAATTGGTCAAATTGTTATACACTTGCACTTATTACTTTCAGCTTCAAAACAAAGCTTCTATTATTTAGGGCTGGGCCTGGGTGAAATTGAGGAACTTCTCGAGTCCTCGGCTATATCTGGAGACTGGAGATGTCTTCTTTTAGGAATGCCATTCCAAGGAGAGCTCACAAGGAACGTGCCCAGCCGTGAGTGACTGTTCAATATCTTGAGTAACATTCATTCGTTTTAAATTTGAGCCTGAGCATTGTCCATGATGTGAGTGTTTCTTTATTCTGGAATTCTGGCAGAGAATCGAGGAAGAAATTCGGCCTGCTCGAGAAGAAAAAAGATTATGTTAAGCGTGCAGATGCTTACCACAAAAAGGAAGAAGCTTTACAGGCAAGTGCATTGAAGTTGTAGCTCTCTTTGAAAGTGTGGTGAATTTATAGTCTCAACCATTAATAGATAGTGTGATGATTATGGCTGTATGAACACAATGCGTTTTTATACAGAAACTCAAGGAAAAGGCTGCATTCCGGAATCCAGATGAGTTTTACTTTGGGATGATTAAAACCAAAACTGTTAATGGAGTGCATCAACCAGCGTAAGATATCAATCATTATTGTATATTATTGATTGTTGATACACTTGTAGTTTTATCATCCTTTGCGAGTAGTATAATCTTCCTTGTGATAAACTGCTGCAGGAGTGAAGCAAATAAATATACTCCGGAAGAACTAATGCTAATGAAAACTCAAGACATGGGTTATATTCTGCAGAAACTTCAGACTGAGAAGAAGGTTTTGGCTCACTATTCCCCTATTTTCCCTTGATCATATTGCAATGTCATGCATGTGGACTTTCGTAAATGTAATACTATTGTTCTGAATGTAGAAAACAGAAAAGCTTATTGCAATGCTACACTCTCTTGATAATCAGTCATCAAATAAACGTGTCTACTATGCTGAGGACAGGTAGGCACTATGAGTTATTTCAGGCTTTGGATTCGCGTTACTGGAGTTGGCATTCTGTTGATCTCAACTTTTTATCGCTCATATGACTACAATTGAATTTCATTATGGGTGAAAAAGCTATTTAGATTCTTATTTTCTCTTTTTATAACCTTATACAATGACATTTACTTGATCAAGCATTCAAGCTATACCAAATGTGTAACATCTTCTGGTATTTTGGAAGTTTAATGTAAAAAGAAAGTAGAAGTAGTAGAAAAGGAGTATCTTTATAGCCCCTCTGCTAAAGTTGAGTTTAAAATTGATGCTGCGGCAAGATTAGTAATTAGAACTGTGAGATGAAGTCATGAAACACATATGCCAATCTGATATTTGTTTGATAGCAATAATACTGCAGCTAGAATATTTTAAAATAGTGTTTAAGAATATTTTTCAATGAATTAGAGAAATATGTTTAAAAATAAGTTTGAAAACTAAAACAAACGAAAACCCACTTCATTGGAAGTATCAAGTTGCGGTGGAAAAGCAGGGCTAGAACGGATAAGCTTTCATACCTCAGGAATCTCAACACAGAGGTGTGGTAAGACACCAAATTGTGCTGGGTATTTTGTGCAATATTTTCCAACTTACCAAAGTAAAAGCTGAAACAGAGGGGTTCTTTTCCTGATGAAACAACTTCAAAGAGGTGCAGGACTTGGCTTTTGATGTGCTTTGGTGGCCTTTGACTTTCTTTTGCTGAAAATTTGAAGTTTTGAACGAGTATAAGCATGAATATGCTTCAACCTTAGAGCTGAAATTATGAAATTCTTTTAAGATAGCACCATTTTGTGTTTCTTTCAACCCAATGTACTATAAGGAGTTCACAATAGTTACTACATACTAGTAGTCTTAAAAGAAGATTATGCAAAACGTATGCCTATTATATACGAATTGTTAATTTTTCTTCTTGTTAAGCTTTTGCTGAAGCTATGGAAAACCAAATAGAAAATGAAATGGATATGTTTTAGGCTGAGTGCATTATTGCCTAAAAGTATTTGCATACAAAATAATCATTAACAAAAATTTACATAGCCAATAGTTCGTTATTGGCTGTGTAATAAAATTGAACAAAATTTCCAATCGGTGTATTACAAAGGTCTATGACACAGACTTTCTTTAAGGGAGACCTGGATGGAGAAATAGAATCCACATAAGCAACCACATCTACATTTAGCTAATGCATAGTTTTATATGCTAAATTAAACAGACTTTCGGGCTTCAAGGTGTTCTTTAAGTTTTGTTTCTTTTCATACCTAATGCTAATTAAATGGAGTTTCAGATTAATTGGGGAGCAAGATCCAACCATCTTCCTTTTCTTAAATATTTTTTCTATTATATCTTTTCCTTCCTTATCAATAATTTTGTAATTTGTACAACCTCCTTCCCAATAAAAGGAATCTGTTTCACTAAGGCATAACTTTTTGAATTGTAGTAAAATATAACTATTGGAAATCATCAATTCTAGCTAGATTTTTGATATAGTTTTACTGAATTAACTAAATTTAACTTTTTTAATTTGATTGGGAAACATGTCAAATTTTAAACTAAATGAAATTTAAAATACATGAAAAATAGCTTGTACTGTTCAAAGACGGGTCTTTTTAGGTGAAAAAAGTTTTAAAAAGAGGGCATATTTTCGGGATGGAGTGCTGTACTTTGTAGTGCTTTATGAAAGTTAGTACTCTTCTAAATTACCTACATACTTTTAGAGAGGAGGCTGAAGCGATTAAATCAAGAATATCAGAACATGGTAACATGCCGACTCCCAATGAGCTGCCTGACAGTATTACAAGGTGAGCATCAATTTCCATTTTTCTCTTGGAATATTAATTTTAGATGCGATTGAGATTCATCATCATCATCATCACCCCAGTGCCGCAAGGCTCCCACCTGCGATTGAGATTATATGTTCAAAATTATGTAGGCTAATAACATGCATTTTCTAGTTTTATAGTGATGTACAAGCCTCTTCACTTATTGGATTTGTAATGTTCTCGTGTGTGCCTCATAAGCACAGTGAGAATTACTTTCAGCCTGATGTGCTATCACCCGAGAAGCGATTCTATAAAAAAATAAGAACCATTAACCTCTGACATTATACAACTGCTATACAAGCTTTGTGTGTCGGACGATATAATGTTTTGGATGATGAATTGAGGCTCACTAGTCACTGCCCTCATCAATTAAGGTAATAAAGAATGCACTTAAAAAACTATGTGTAATGGTGTAACATATAAAATTTATATATTATTTTGCCCCCTGTGCCCCGGTGCCCCCCATTTTTATATTTTTCAAGATAATTCGTTAATAGATGGGTGGGTGGGACTGGTGATGACATGGGAAACAGAAAATGGGAAATGAGAAACCACATTTTTTAAAAACTATAAAAGACATGGAGTACCATGATAACATGCATTTTCCTTGAAAATATGTTTACGATATACTCCGTATTTGTTTTTTCACAACTTACAAGATGTGTAAAACATTATAAACATTCTTAATAACAATACTAAAATTTGCATTTTGAGTAAAAACTACAGATCCAAAAAGGTACACGGCGCATAAATTTAAGTGTGGTTAATGAAGGTTAATTACCCATTGTTGTTGATTTATTACGTTCTTTTATTTGTAATTCAACTTCAAAGAAGTGTGTTTTCTTCTAGGAAAAGTGTTTGTGGGTACAATTTTTCTTTATAATGAGTCCAACATATTAATTGTAAGGACATTTTTCTTGTATACAGTAATATTGGCGTGCCAACTTTTTTTAATGAAAACTTCTTGGTTATAGAGAGAAACATGGAAACACTTTACTAACCGGAGTTTCCTTCAAACAACAATTTTATAAATCTGTGTAATAATGTATCTTCCATCAAACAACAAGATTATAAATTGAATTACTCTGTAATAATGTGTTTTATGTTTAATATATGGAACTTTGATTTTGCTGAAAATCTGTGTCGCTTTCTTTGAAGTACTGTTATGAAGAAGCTTTTACTATACATTTTGGTTGACGCTTGAGTCTCCCATTTAGTCGGTTTTTCATACTTTCAATTGATGGGAGATTCCAAACTATAATTGCAGTCTGATAAAGGCACGAGGCAATTATAACTTGCCCAAAAAAGCCACTGTGATGATAAAATAAAGAGACGTGTGTCAATGTTACATTTGCTTTTGTGGTTTAGGTATGTTTGGATCCTAAAAATGCTTTTTTTTGCGACTTCGGTTTTACCCCGGTGATGCAAAGGAAAATCAAATGACTATTGATTTTGAATCAGTATCATGTCCCCCCCACATTTTCTTCTAAACTTCTCTTATGTTTTCCTCTGTATCATTTTCAGAAAAATATCCCTGTTTGCATTTCCTTGGATTCTAGTTTCAGTAGTTTTATGCCACTTTTAACTCTTCTCTTTTGCGTCATTCATTCTGCATCCTTTTCAGGAAAATGGCTTCATCCTATAGAGAGCTTGAGATGAGAAAAGGCAGAGTAAAGACCTTGGAGAAAGTGTATATGGATATGGCAATGCAAAAGGAATTTCAGGTCTCTTTTACTTAATTTGCAATTACGTAGTTATGTGTGGTTTTATTTTCGAAGCAGCTCAAAAGTATTTATTCCTTTGCATCACCAGAAGAAGGGAAGAAAACGCAAACTTCGTGAGGATGAGATTGTCACCCCTACCGAGAAACTAGTTTTCAAGTGGAGGCAAGAAAGGAAGCGGTGAAAGGGACCCCTTGCGGCCTTGCCGTTTCATTTATCAGCATCTTGAGTTTGTTTGTGGAATTCTATGTTAATTGTCCGAAAGTGGGTAGTATCTATTTTGCATCTATGTATGTGTTTTTGTCCTTATAAATACTCATTTTGTATACGAAGTATACTCATTTTCAAGTGTTCATTTTTGTGTGCTAATTGATCAGCGATTGCATGTTCATTTATAGCATATGAAGAATGCTCATTCAACAATATACCTTTTTGAGATGTTAAAAAAGTTCCATTTCTCTTCAATGAATGATTTGTATGGTTAATAATTAATAGGGAAAACTCTCTTATTATTATATCAAAAAAGTCAATTAAACTCTCAAACCAACTATAGAAACACTCCATTAAACATTCAAAGTTCAAACCAACCAACTTTAGAAAAACAATCAAATTCAAAATCTAGCAGGTAAGTACTTATTTCCGGTTTTTGCTCCTTCCGCCATTTTCTTTCCTCCTTATTTCTTGTTCCTATCTTTTTTTTCCCTTTGTTTTCTCTTAGTCCTTCTCCCCTCTAAGTTTGCAACGTGGTTGGCTAAGCATAACTGCATAAGGACAGTGTGCCAAAGATTTATAATCTGTACGTGGTACGTCGGATTTCGAACATGTCAGCAATCGCCATCCTTCGTCAAACATGGTGGTGCAGCATTCTCTGGAATTTAGAGCTCCTCGGCCAAGAAGCTACACTCTCAGAAGGTTTTCAAGATGTATGCTGGAATTCATAGCTCTTCAGCCAATCTGAAATCCTCGCCGAAGGTGTACAATATGTATGCCGAATTATTTATCTCTTTGGTCAACCCGCCTTCCTTGTCGTCGTCTGCAGCCTTCTCAAGCTAATTCTTGTCGTTGTAGACGAAGACCGGCACCAATGATGTCGCAACAGGAAGGTGAAGTTCGTGAAGATCTCTGCCCCCCCAAGCACCCTCTTCGCCGGAGTTCCTCACTTGAAGTACAATGTGGTAGATTGAAGAGAGGGGGGGGGGGGGGGGGGGGGGGACGTTGAGGTGGGAAGAAGGGTGAACAGAAATGACTCAAATGAGAAAAATGGGAAGAAGGGTGAAGAGAAATGACTCAAATGAGAGAAGGAAAGAAAAATCCAAGAAGAAGAAGGGATGGGCGAAAGAAAGAAGAGGAAGAAGAAACAGTGGTTAGGACTTGGGCGGAAGAAAAAGGGGAATAGAGCAAAAAGAAAAAAAAAAAAAGAAAAAATAAAGAAAAAAATACATAGTAAAAAAATTAGGTAGATCGCCACATCAGCAACATAACCGAATAACTCAATAACTTGTCCATTACCTCCTAAATTTTGAAATTGATTGTTTTTATAAACTTGGAGAGTTTAATTGGATGTTTCTATAGTTCGAGGGCTTAGTTGACTTTTTTGATATACTATGAGAGCATATTTGATAGTTTTCCCTAATTAATATTGTATACCTTATTCTGCCTTAACCACTTGATAAATGTGCCTTGTCAATCTGAGAAGATTTTTGGGACAGATGAGTAAATTTTAACCTCAGCCCATCAATGGCAAATTTGTTACTCCTTTTGTTGTGCTATAATTGTTATATCTTTCCTTTTGGAGCGATGTCATTAAGATGGTTTCATATCGAATCTGGTAAAATTTGTGTGGTGAGAAACGATTCTTACTTTTATTTTATTAATTCAATACTAATCACATTTTTTAAAAAGAATCTAATATTAATTACATTAACTCTTCATGTCTCAATATGAATAGGTATCTAAAGTTTTTTGTTTTTGTTTTTATATAATCAGTTTGAGACGACTTTCATAAAATTACATATTACTAGCGACAGTTGACTATTTATCGTGCCTCAACCATACCTGCAGAATACATTAACCATGTCGTTCTAATTCTAAAAGCACCTGTGAAACTATAATATAATAGTTGTGACTTATGAGAAAGCATTTACGAAATAACTACTAGTATAAAATTACTAGCGGAATAGTCATATGCAATTATTTAAAAAAAATCGAAACATAGTAATCGAGCATTTTTTTTACATCAAAACGATTGCTACACTTTAGCAGTTCAGCCATCACACAACTACAACACTATTCCTTCAAGTTTTTTCAATTTAATTTGTAATTTGTAATACTACATATCGTTTATTTCTCTCGCAGGTGAACTACTATTCTACTAATATGTTAATTTTCTATTTCTAACAGAATCTAATTAGTAAACTTTCACAAAAAAACAGAATCTAATTAGATGTATAGGTTAAATAAATTAATCAACATATGAGATCAAATCAAGTTGAACTAAATTGAGCAAATAAGTTTCACTTTGATAATCCAAACTAGAAATCAAACTAACTGAATCTCTCCTAAACTGAATTCAAATAAAATCGAAACATAAATGGTTTTAGTTTAGTAATATCCCCCAATTGAATAAACCGAAACCAATAAAAACTTAATCGTAAATTGAATTGTCCTCCCCTAATTTGAATATGTTGTCTTTAAAATAAAATGCCTCTTGTTTTACATCCCTACATAATAAATCAGCATCCGTACATGTAGTTTGAATTTCTCTCCTACTCTTGTCTTTCAGCATCAGGATTTTATACATTATTATAGTTTATAAGATCATATTTAACCTTATTGAAACATAGTGCTGGCCTTAACCGTGTTTATGGAAAATCCTCAGTCAAAGTGACGGTTTCATAAGCCGCCAGTCCAAGTGGTGACTAATTATTATAATACCACCCATTTCAGCCACAATCAAACAACGAACGATGGAGAGCAAACCGAAGAGCCCACAAATCAACGAAAAAGTGAAACGGTGTAATATAATTAGACGTCTTTTGTACTCCCTTGTAATGAATTTCATCCGTTTTAATTGAGGTATTTCATCATATTTTCTAGGCTAAAGGGTCAAATAGGCCCCTGTACCTGTTCGGAATGCTCAATTCGCACCCCGAACTCAAAAAAGCTCCAATTTACACCCTGAACTCGCCAAAAAAGTTCAAATCCCATTTTTTGCAGGTGAGTTTCCGGTCATTGCCACGTCAGCCGGTTAGATGCCAACTGTGCATCCCACGTGGAAATCTAAGGGGTCAAATAGACCCCTGAACCCGACAAAATTGTTCAATTTACCCCCTCAACCGTTAAAAAGTGTCCAAATTGCCATTAAAAAATAAAAAATAAAAAATAGAAAAATATAAATATAAATAATATACAAGTTCATAATATAAAATATATGAGTCTATTAATAATATGACAATAAATTATTTATATTTCAGGGTAAATTTAATATTTTAAATATTTATGAGTCTATTTATAAAATGAAAAAATATTAAAAAATTAATATGAATTTATAAAAAATGTATGGTTGATTTTTTTAAATGGATTTAAAATATAAAAATATTTTTAATGAATTTGTTTTGTTTTGTTTTATGTGAATTTACCACAAAAATAAGGATATATTTATATTTACAGTAAATTCATATAAAATAAACTAAAAGAAATTCATTAAAACTATTTTCATATTTTAAATATGTTTTAGATTTATATGTAAAATTACACACACACACACATGCATATATGTATATATATACTTCATATTATTTTATTCTAGAATCATATACTACATACTATACTTCATACTAATTATATGCAACATAAAAATTTTGTACTATATAAAAGTTATAATATGTAAATAGCAAGGGACTACTACATTTTTATAATATGTATTTAAAAAATAAGTACCTTCACTGTTTATATATATATATATATATATATATATATATATATATATATATATATATATATGTTTAATTTACCCTGAAATATAAAAAGAGTCAATTTTTTTAATTAAAAAAAATCGTAAAATTAAAAAAAAAATTGACTCTTTTTATATTTCAGGGTAAATTAAACATATATATATATATAGGGGATGGTTCAAATAAAAAGTGGTCTTCCCGTGCAAAGTGCGAAATTTGCACTTTTTCATGTTTCGCTTGCACGTTTTCTTGTTTTTGTTGCACTTTTTCGAGGTAGCGAAAAAAATTGGGTTATTTACAAAACTGCCACCGTCATTTTGGGGAAATTTGGCCAAAATCACAATAGTGAAAAAGTGCAACGGAAACCGGTAAAAGTGCAAGCGAAACGTGCAAAAGTGCAATTTTCGCACTTTGCACGGGAAGATTACTTTTTATTTGAACTCTTCCCTATATATATATATATATACACACAATGAAGGTACTTATTTTTTAAATACATATTATAAAAATGTAGTAGTCCCTTGCTATTTACATATTATAACTTTTATATAGTACAAAATTTTTATGTTGCATATAATTAGTATGAAGTATAGTATGTAGTATATGATTCTAGAATAAAATAATATGAAGTATATATAGATATATGCATGTGTGTGTGTGTAATTTTACATATAAATCTAAAACATATTAAAAATATGAAAATAGTTTTAATGAATTTCTTTTAGTTTATTTTATATGAATTTACTGTAAATATAAATATATCCTTATTTTTTGCGGTAAATTCACATAAAACAAAACAAAACAAATTCATTAAAAATATTTTGATATTTTAAATCCATTTAAAAAAATCAACCATACATTTTTTATAAATTCATATTAATTTTTTTAATATTTTTTCATATTATAAATAGACTCATAAATATTTAAAATATTAAATTTACCCTAAAATATAAACAATTTATTGTCATATTATAAATAGACTCATATATTTTATATTATGGACTTGTATATTATTTATATTTTTCTATTTTTTATTTTTTATTTTTTAATGGCAATTTGGACACTTTTTAACGGTTGAGGGGGTAAATTAAACAATTTTGTCGGGTTCAGGGGTCTATTTGACCCCTTAGATTTCCATGTGGGATGTACAGTTGGCATCTAACTGGCTGACGTGGCAATGACCGGAAACTCACCTGCAAAAAATGGAATTTGAACTTTTTTGGCGAGTTCAGGGGGTGAATTGGAGCTTTTTTGAGTTCGGGGTGCGAATTGAGCATTCCGAACAGGTACAGGGGCCTATTTGACCCTTTAGCCTATTTTCTAACTCATAGGGTTTTTGTCAGATAATGAACGTGTGGAGTAGACCATACACACAAACAACACCAACAATAAAAAAATCTCTTTGTACACACTTTCTATACACACCTTATACACATTGCTGTTGTTACGATTTAGGTTAAGCAAACGATAAATTAACGAGCAAGAACACAAGAATTTACGTGGTTCACACAATCGGGGTGATTGTGCTAGTCCAC